GAGGTCGTCTTTGTTGAGGACAGAGCTCTGAAGGGCTGATACGGCCGCCTTTAGCTCAGAAGTTGTGGAAGTCGACTCCTTCAGAGCCTCTGTGAGAGGTGCAAGAACCTCTGTCGCCGGTTGGGAGGAGAACAAGCTTTTCAACTGATCCATCCTCTTGAATACCTCTGTGGCGAAGGTTTGTAACTCCTCCTTCGTCACATAAGTACTCAGGGAACCTAGATCACCAACACATGGTGACGTAGTAGCCTCGGAGTGTAAGGCGCCCTTAGTGACTGGTTTGTCGATGTCAGCTCAGGGACTTCCACCGGATCCTCGAACATCTCAAATTGGAGAGCCTACCAGTGTTCTCTCGATGTCGTGCCTAGTAGGTTCAGAGCCGAACTTGGCAGAGGGATCGAGTGGAAACTTTGGGCGTTCTAGACCCGCAGTCTCTATGAATCTCTCGTATGCCTCTGAAGCATAACTTGGTTCTTCACTCAAGTGTGGAGGGGTAACGGATGCCTCTCTGGGTTGTGACGAGTCCTTGGGCAAATGGACTCTTATTTTAAAACCACCATCCTTTTGAGAGGACTAGTGGTGTACCCGCGCGATGCAGCGCGGGGAAATCACAATCCGGAAACATTAGTTTGACCTTGAATCATGAGTTTGTGTGGTTATTTTACAAGTCAATTAATATATAAAGTTGAACATTAATTTTGTTTGTTAAGAAGACCGAATGAACAAAAATTGCACACATGTCGGGTTTCTGAAACCATCTACTCGGAACTCATTACAAAACTTGAAATTCTTGAATGAACAAAGAAATACAATCGTTTGTAAAATAATGTTCAYCTGTATATCCAAACTGTTGTTTGTTTTTCGTAATGCACTCATCCGTAAATATTTCCTGCAAAAAATGACGCAATGGTATTAATAGAAACATATGGTACAAAATGTGTAATAATATAATTGTTGATTATATTTTATTCATCACGTAAAACTCAYCAACAATGACCCTTAATGATATATAATAATATTGAATAAGAATTTCTTAAAACTCATCAAAAAATGAGTGGGCTTCAACTTAGGTAAGGCATTCTATAGCTAAAAAAAATTAACCGCAATATATGTGATCATGGAACAGTAGGATATATGTGCACATAGATAGATTAAACCTTTGTATGCATTAATATATGTGTGTAGAAATACATATGCACACACAGGTTGCTGTTTTGGCAAACAATCCATTTAAACAAGAAATGGAAATATCAAGTTGGTTCATTTAACCAAGTTTGTTCATATAAACATATAAATGGAAATATCAAGACATAACAGGGCTGTTTCGTTGTCATTTTCTATTTGAAGTACAATATACACATAGAACACACACATACAACACTCTACTGTTGAAATTTAACACCTGTTGTTGACATTTAACAGGTGTTGTAGACATAACCTACCACACAAACTCAAAAACTTAAAAAAGCTTAGTTAATATGAAGCAGTGTAAACATAAACAGAAGTGGGAGGAGCCTATTTAAACTGCATATGGCTACTATATTGATCCTTAGACTTAATATGGCCACTGTATTGACATTTCAAGTGGAATAACAGCTAGGTAGAAAGATAACATCTAAAAGTATTCAACTTTTAACCATATCACCTCAGAATATGGAAGTTAAGATCCAATCACAACATACCTGAAATTTCCTTTTTCAATCCTTGGCAAAATTGTTACAAGTGAAATAKGTCAAAATTTTGGATAAGCGAATGATGAAACCAAATTAAGTATCCTACCCATGCTTCATCAAACCAAGAGTGTCATGCAATGGTATACCTTGGACAAAGTAAGAATAAAGAGGCAGCTGAAGCTTTGTATGAGMATTGAGCCATAAATAAATAAATAAATAAATAAAATCCAAGAATGGGCTTGAAAGATATTCAATTATTTTAGGCTATGTGACCTGCGGCATTCTTTCTTCTAAGTGGGCTTTAAAAATCAGTAGTTCAAATTTTACCCATAAATGGAAGGTTTATCTAAATACTACAGCAATATGATCATAATTTATCTAAAGTGGAAAATTGGCACCTATGCAACACAAACACTATGACAGCAACAATACTGCTGGTTCTTAGTAGCTTTGATTACCACCAGCAACAACATGTTCATCGTTCTCCAATATTCTCAAAATGGGTGGTTGTAAGTTGAAGGTGGTTTGGTTGTAAGTTGTGGTACCAATGTGGGCCAGATCAAAGACCAATAGCCCATTGACTAAAGTTAGACTATCATCCTACTACTACTACTACACAGGTTCAAATGCGAATTTAAACATCTTCAAAACATAACAATGGGGATGTTTAAACCAGTGTTAAAATAGAATGCAGTCTTGTTGCAAACCACAGATCTGTGTCCCAAACATGTGGCCAGATGTGTGTCCAGTCCCAAAGATGTGTGTCCCAAACATAATGCAGTCTTAATTACCAATACTATTGCTTGCTTAAGATCTGTAAAGTTTTTAAGACTAAGGGGCCGTTTACCAAACCCTTATCCGGGTAAGGGCTTACGCAAGTCACATTACCTTACCGGATGAATATGGAAGGACCAAAAATCTTACCCGGTAAGAGCGAAGGTAAGGACCGAGAGTCTTACCCGGTAAGTGCGAAGGTAAGGACCGAGAGTTTTACCCGATAAGTGAGAACGACGACTTTTACCATGGTTAGCTTTTACCAGATAAATTGTTGCATACGATTTTGTTTTGATCTTACACGGTAAGTAAGTGATAGTGTTGAATTTTACCCATAAAATCTTACCCGGGTAAGCGGAACCGGAGTCTCTCTGTTCTTGATAGCTACAAAATAATTTTGGCAAGGATTGTTACCCGGTAAAGGAAAGTTAGAAAGGTAACTCTTGGTGGATTACTTACTCGGTAGGCGTTTGGTATACGACCCTAATTCCATAATTTTTGCATCCGTTCTTTAACCACAAAATAATTTTTGCATCCCTAAGACCATATTTTATAGATGCATCATAATAGTGAAAATAAACAATAAATGACAAGTAAATTTTGGTTAAAAATCATGCATAAGTAGATCAAGATAAAATTACAAAAAAGTAACTTAACAACAAACACATCATACAAGATACCTTATTATCGTCCAAGTCCTCCTATTATCCTGAAGATGGTAAGAATGAAGCTCACCTGAAATAATAAAAAAATTCTATAACATGACATTATGCTCGCAACCTGTCAAGTTATGGTAAAAAAATGTCACATTTAACTTGGCTATTCTCATCCAATTCCCTCTCCGTCTGATCCTTCCTCAACCCACATAAACTAAAGATTAGGATTAACAGTAATTCAAACAAAGTATAATCAAATTACTCAACCTCTTTTGTGAGTGATGTCTAAGCTGCAAATAAAAGCGGGTACTATAAAAACCTAGCTTACAGTACCTGGTAGGAAAAATCCACTGGACCCTATTCATCATTATCCATTGATCAGTATAAGAACAAAAAAGATTTATCCTGGCAAAGTAGCATCTGTTGAATACAAAACCAAAACTGAAATATGTAAGTAATATGGCAGAAATGGCCATGGATCCAAGCATACAAAAGCCACCAATTTATAATCAGTTTTATGTTTATAAGCAAATCACAAATAGTTTACATACATGCCTATCGGACAGAACTGTGGCTTTTCATTCCAAGGAGAAACAGATCGAGGAGAAGAACCTCCAGATATCCAGATTAAATATCCAAGCAGGTGGTCCCCTAGGAATAGCCGGCTTGCATAGCGGGTTAAATATCCAGATTAATCAAAAAAATGGAAGAAAATGTTCTAGAAAATGAGTAAAACAGGGTCGGTTGAAAAATGTGAGGCTCAGATGTAAATAATCAACAAAGAGGATAAATTCGCCATTGCTGCAACTTACTGGTTGCAATGACAAAGAACGAAAACATTCATATCTTCTTTCTCTCATATAACCATACCGGTTGCCCCAGCCAATATGCGGATTATCTCAGATTTTGATCGAATACACTCAGATGCATTAAAGGTGGTTTTGCTGGATCGAGGTAGTGGCACACCCACCAGGCCAATATAATATATATCCATAAAGATAAGAATTCAAAAAATTGATCAAACTTTTTCGAAAGGTGATACTAATTGTTGGAGTGCAGTGATTCTGTCCCCCATCTTCTATTTTTTCACTTGAAAAATCCAAACACAAATATTTGTCATCTTTATGCATATCACACAACAATTAATTAGGTGTTGATGTTTTTTTCATTAGGGTTTGCAGGTTTTCTTACCTTAGGTTTATCCCTTCTTTCCTTCTTTCTTTCTTCCATATCAAGAAGTAGAAGTAGCAGCAACAACAATCTGCAAATCTGGAATCCGACAAATGGGATCAGACACCRCCATGGCTGCAACCCGTTGCCCCGCCAAGATACGGGCCGAATTTTACCCAGTGCTCGGAAACCTATGCTCAGAAATGCTAAATGCAGAAGAATTTCATCACAGCCTCGATGTTTATTTGGCAACAGTGGTGACGACCTCCGATAAATCTTCGGATTAGAAAATAAAACCTACTGGATCAATCGGAAACTGTACCAAAAGCATCATGTTCATAAATAAGCAATCCAAACATAAGCAATCACAAACACCCCTTATATATATACAGAGAGAGAGAGAGAGACAAGAGATCTCGATTCACATCTTGCTTTCTTCTATTTATGGTTATGTAGGCTCAGATCTGCAAATCTGGAATCCGACAAATGGGATCAGACACCGCCATGCTGCAACTCGTTGCCCGCCCAAGATACGGGCCGAATTTTACCCAATGCTCGAAAACCTATGCTCGGAAATGCTAAATGCAGAAGAATTTCATCACAGCCTTGATGTTTATTTGGCAACAGTGGTGACGACCTCCGATAAATTTCCGGATCGGAAAATAAAACCTACTGGATCAATCGGAAACCGTACCAAAAGCATCATGTTCATAAATAAGCAATCCAAACATAAGCAAACACCCCCTATATATATACACACAGAGAGAGAGAGAGAGCGAGACCAGAGATCTCGATTTACATCTTGCTTTCATCTATTTCTGGTTATGTGCTTCAAAGGGATTTTGATTGTTCACCATATTAGTGAATAATGGATATGGAGAGATGCAGTGATGAATCGTCTGAGATGAGGAAGGGATGAGAGTGTCTTGAGAAGAGGATGAGGGATGAGAGTGTCTTGAGAAGAGGATGAGGCTGAATCAGTCATTTTTGAGGGAAGTCTCTCACAAACTCTTCAAGCATCATTTCAAATTTATTTCAAATTTATTTCAAATTTATTTCAAATTTGAAATTTGGTGGTGATGGTAGAGGGGTTAAAGTCAATGAATCAATAAGTTGTACATTATGCTTTATGACTTGTCCTTAAGAGTAAAATGGCAGTACTTTGTATTTAAAGGGTTGTAATTATGATAATGGCCTAAATGGTTATATAGGTAGTATAGATGTTGGAGTAGATTGAGGTTCCCGGACTGTGCATTCGACAGAGGACGAAAGAATGTCCTCTGCGAGGTTTGCTGGTTTAGGGCTCAACGTGTGCACGCTTTTTTCAATAGGGGTTTCCTCTAGAACAGGGTCCGTAGAAATGTGGGTTGCACTAGGAGGGGGGCTTGGATATGTGCCTTCAACATCTTTTTCTCCCTCATCTAACTCCAATTCTTCTTCTTCATCGTCTAGAACCACTTCTGTCCCCAAATCTGCCACCTCTATGGGCGCTTTAAACTCTTGTTGGATGTGGAAGATTACATCGTGTATTTGCTCTGTTGGGGACTCTTGAACAATCTTGTGCAACCTTCTGCGCTTAGGAGCAGCCTCTGCTGGGGTTTCTAGGATTACAGCCTCTGTCACCTCAACCTTTGTGGGTTGGGTCTTCTTCGATTTCTTCTTTTTCGGCTTTTGCAGAGGACTGCTTGGACCCTCTTCTTCTGCGGGTCTCTTCTTCCCTTTCTTTTTCTCAGAAGAGTCGACATCATTCTGAGTCTTCTTTGTCTTCTTTTGTTTTTGTGGGGGACTTACTACCCTCGGTCTTTCCTCACTCATTTCCCTAGCCTCTGCTAGCTCCTCCCTTCTTCCCTCAACCCTCATTTTTTGCACTCTCTCTCCTATGGGAATACCTATGCATGGAGGGTTTTCAGGGACCGGCTCTGGCCTCCTGTATCCATGTCTGTATGCTTTCCTATCTCATCGGCTAAGGTATTTGAGCATGGTGGGCTTCTGTATGTTAGCTCATGCTCTGTGAGGTGGAACTCCTTCATTGGATACAATCGTGCGTTTGGCTCTGCAGAGGGCAGCTTCTCTGTTATCATTTCACCAAAGACCAAGCCAAAGAACCTCTGTAGAATTAAGTTTGGATGATTGAGGTCCTCTTTGGTTTTCTTCTGTGCCTTCACTTTTGACTTCTCACCCTTTTGAGTAATACAATTCTTTTTTATTAAGCCCATCATGTCATCGAAGATAAGTTATGCGTAATCAAGGGGCAGATTGAAGTATATTCCATATACAATGGAAAGCATGGCAAGTGAGGCATGGTCATGGCTGCGGACCTTCCCTTTTAGACAGTAATTAACTATCGAAAACAGAGTATTCCAAATTGGGGGAAGGCCTTTCCTTTTGAATTCAGTCCTTTTAATGATTTTTGTCATAGYTGTGTAGGAGTGAAATTCAAGAAATTCAATCAGTTCAGGGTCTGTCGGTGATGGAGTGAAGGTATCCAAATTCAGATTTGCCAAGGAAGGAAGGTGCAGGGCTGTGCGCAGGGTGGTGACATTCAGTTCCATTGGAACAAGCGATGTGACAGTAGGATGTGAAGCATAACCTACTATGCTTAATCCAGAATTGTCCAGGGTAGTAATATAAGAACTGAGTAAAAATTGGGTATATATGTTTCTGGGGTAGGTTTAGTTGCTGAGAGAGCATAGTATAAAGGATGGTTGCGAAGGATTTCAAGAAGGGGATATGTGAATTTAGGGAATCCAGATGGAGAGGGAGCGAAAAAGTAGTTGTTGGGTTTCTTTACCAGGACCACTCTCTCATATCGATTTTGGAAAAATGATAGGGCATGAGAAGTGAGTGCCTGTGATTGATTTACTTCGTTGTTGCTTGAGTTATTCACAGATTGAGCGGAGGCGGAAGAGCTTGAAGACATAGTTGCAGGTTTGGTCGGAAAGCTTGAGGTTCGTCGGAGTATAAGGAGAAATGTAAAGGTTTACGTTTTGGGGGGAAGGGGTATTTATAGTGAGGGATTTGAAAGCGAACCGTTTGTTAGGAGAAAAAACATTATGAGTGGCTTTTTGGAAAGACAAATCAAAATATGACACGTGGTGTTGGGAAGACGCACGATTGATGACGTGCGCCCCCGTTTCTGACACGCACGTGATCTGTTTTAACCCTTATCCACAGAACCACTCGCACCATATCAATAATACAAAACTATAGAAGAGAGTTCTGTTAGAGGCCTAAGGGTAACAGAGCCTCTGTGATATGTGCGGGGCCTTCTAACATGTTACACCTTTAATTACTTAAACGGTTTGAAAATCCTTAAAGAGATGAGTACTTGCTCAGTTCAGACCCACAGAGCCTCTGATAGAAGCGCTAGAGGTTATGATGAATTGATTTAATCCTTTGACCATTCATCGATTTGTTTTAAAAGGACTTATACGTATTTTGACTAGTTGACTTAGTTGACCTTGACTTATTGACTTTTTACGACCGATTTTCATTTTGGAATTTTGATTAAGTGTTAAAAATATCCGATTTAAGAATTTTAATTCAAATTGAATTTTGTGCCTTATCCGTATTTCATTTTGCATAAACCGTTTAAATTTTGCATTCTTTGGTTAAAATCTGGTTAAGTTTTTTGGGCAATTTAAATTTGCTTGTTGTCCGGACTTCTAATCCGGATAACTTGTTGAATATCCTATCTTGTTGACCGAACTTTCAATCAGGATAAGCTTGACCGGATTACTAATCCGGATAAGTTTTTGTGCCTAAATTGTTCTAAGTGTTGAATGTGTGTGAAGTTTTGTTTAGATATTATCATATATATTTTTGTAAACTGATCCTTTAGTTCAAACTTTGAACTGCAGTTGATCCTATTTCATACAAATTGATACGATGAGTCCACGAGAAGCAATGGCTATTGGTACTGATACCAAGCCACCTGTTCTATTTCGTGGTGATTACAATCAGTAGAGAGACAAATTCCTGAATTTTATTGAGAGAGTGAAAGAAGGTGATCTGATAATGAAATCTTTAATGGAAGGTCCTGCTGAATTCTTTCTAGAGATAGATGTTGATTTAGTAGAAGGCATACCTGCATAGAGAGTTCCTAAACTAAAGCATCAATATTCTCCTGATGAAAAAGAGAGAGCCCATGCTGATGTGCTGTGCAAGTCTTATATGATACAAGCACTGACTAATGATATTTACACCAGTATTGATAGTTACAAATCATCAGGTCACAACATGTGGATTCAAATCGAAAAGATGATGATGGGTTTGAAAGTGGGAACTCAATTGAAAATTACTAACTGTATTTCAGCCTATGAAGAATTCAAGGCCAAAGAAGGTGAAAGTCTTGATGATGTTTACAATAGACTTGCCAGACTGCTAAATGAACTAACAAAGAATGGAATTTCTAAAACTACAATAGAGATTAATGTTA